GCCTAACCTAACTTGCATGCCGCCACAGTTCTGGAGTACCTGATTAAAATGTCAGACCTTGCTAATAAACTTCCTCGGCTTTACCCACACAGCGATCATCCATGTCAATTAATACGTTACTGCTCCACCTTACCCCATTGGTGCCGTTGCCCGTAATTACAATGTAATTCTAGCACGTGCTTCGTTGATTGACTCGGTCAAGACCGGTTTAGTCTGATCATGTGAATCGTCAACCCTACACCTGCAATCTATGCTACCCATTCGACAGGGCCAACATAAAGGAGATCCCGTAGGATCGTAACAATAAATTCAAGATATATATATATATATATATATATATATATATATATATATATATATATATATATATATACATATATATATATATATATATATATATATATATATATATATATATATATATATATATATATATATATATATATATATATATATATATATAATTTCTTGAAAATTAAAACGTTTATAAAATCTATTTTAAAATGCGTAAAGATTATTTAAAAGAAAAAAGGAATTTGCAATCAATTCTGTATTAATTACCGTAGCTAGACCAAATTAATTATTCCGTAAATTCTAGCACCTTATTCAGCGTGGTGATTGGCTAGGTAGAGCTCACGTGATGTGAAGGCAGTTAACAGCCTAGTGTATTGTTCTTCTAGCTGTTTCTTCGTACAATTTACGGATATCATCAACCTAGCTGTAACAGTACTCACACCATAGTGTTCACATATAAAGCAGATGTTAAACATGTGAAATGAATAGTAAAAGACACTTATCGTATTAATCCTCCCTCGATAGTTGTATTAAATTGTTAAAGTAAACATCTCAATAACACAAGAAGGACACCCCTGTCAGAAGATTGTCACATATCGAGACGCCCATGTCAGAAGATTGTCACATATCGAGACGCCCATGTCAGAAGATTGTCACATATCGAGACGCCCATGTCAGAAGATTGTCACATATCGAGACGCCCATGTTAGAAGATTGTCACATATCGAGACGCCCATGTCAGAAGATTGTCACATATCGAGACGCCCATGTCAGAAGATTGTCACATATCGAGACGCCCATGTCAGAAGATTGTCACATATCGAGACGCCCATGTCAGAAGATTGTCACATATCGAGACGCCCATGTCAGAAGATTGTCACATGCAGAAATCATCTTCCACCTTTTTCAATGTGCTCTAATTTTTAAAAAAAGTATTGGTGCTTCAGGGCAAATGGGGCGCGGAGGAGGGTGCTGGCTGATCGGGCTCCCTGACCCCCCCCCCCTTTTATTTAAAAATGGGGTGGGTGCGGTTGATTCGGGCTCCCCCTCCAAAGACAAAGGGAGGTGTGAGTTGTTGGAGCTCTCCATAAGGGCAAAAACGTGTGAGGGTGGTTGGTGCAGTGAGTGTGTGTGTGGAAACAACTCATAACACGTAAGTGAATAGTTAATTACAATTTTTTTTTAATAAAATGCTATTTACACATTACATTAAAGTATATTTATTTCTGAATTTCTCGGATATTCGTTTACATTGGTAATGATCTTTGGAAAATAAAATGTTTTTATTCATGTTGAATTTTATGTATTAACTTTATTTAGTACTAGTAAAGTTTGATCAATTATTATATTTTATCCTTGTGTTTTTTATTGCTGGTGATGAAACAGATGGTGATGGCCTGCACCTATGTAGAGTACAAACAATACAGAAAATACCCCAAGGTCATTGCAACGATAAATATTGCCATTGTTAAATAGGAAAATGACAACGTAGGAACGCCTGTGTAATGGTTATCTATTGTCCATGTCACTATACAATATTTTGAAAGCCTTATTAAAAAAAAAAAATAAACTATATTAAAATACGTTCAAAATAAGTCATCGAATATAAGCCATAAAAGTAGTTAAATATATTTTAATGGCTAGAAGAAAATTAAATTGAAACCTAATCATTGTTGATTATGCGATTTTTTTTTGTAAAGTAACATACAATAATTTTATAACATTTGGTTTGTTTTAAAATGATTCGTTATAACTTATAAAAAGACATAATATATTTATTTTGAAACTGAATGAAACAAATCAGTTAATATAAACATGTAAATGCCAGATTGATCTAATCTACAAGTTAATTATTGTACGTTTAATAAAACAAACCATGGTTTGTTTCGGAGTTGACTTATTTTGTTCGATTTAAATAATCATAGATATATGTTCCACACACACAAGTTAACCTTACAATGTCTTTTTTTTATAGTCATTAATGTATTAGCTCATTACATATTTAAAGAAAATTATTTATATTCTCCGTTTTAGTGCATTGTTACATAAAAGCTTGTTATTTAAAAAATGAAAATTTTTCAGTGCTTAACTTTTTAAGAATACAATACAGTTGCATGACGTAATTGCGAACCAAATGAACAGGAAAACTGATCTTATAACAGCACGGTAACTAGTACTTTATAAATCAATCTTTAATTCATTCTTTAAAAAATAATTAGTCAAATGGAATGTTAGATTGCGTAGAATTGTGCTGTTTTAAGCAGTTTCTCTGATGTTTTTCTGTTTGTGTGTGTTAGAATTGTCTTCATGTAATAGATTACCGTCGTCTGTTGTTTGGTCACGGCTGACACTGAGGTCACCGGAAGTGAGGTTATCCTGACCGAAGTTGTCATGGAAACGCGGGTTCCTCCTGGCGAAGACGTAGGAGATACACAAGAAGAGGATGGAGATGGTGGTGGCGACGGTGATGTAGCCGTGCAGCTTGTTGTTAAAGACCTCGTTGTCGTACAGCAGACAGCGCCCCCTGGTGGAACATTTGACGTCCCAGATGACGCAGATGCCGTCGATGACGTAGCCAATGATGACGGGACCAAGAAGCCAGCCTGGGGATTAGAGGAGATTAGCCATTGTTTCAGCTACAACTCATGCGTACACTATCTATGTGTAAACCCTAACATTTTAATGACTAAATGTCGATTTGTAATCAAATTTGATTGCTAGTAGATAAACGGGTTTGTAGGCCTACTATTTGTTTCTTATATGCAGTTAATTTCAAACCCCAATCACTCTAATCCTCAATACACAATTGTGAATGTAACGATAATGAAGAGAGGTGACAAGGAGAGTTACATAAGAGATGTTAAGTAAGTCGTATCATACTTTAAAAGCTTTTATTTAACTTTCTTTCTCTGTCTGTTTAGATCGAAACGCCTGAGCAAAATTTCGAGCACTTCTAACTGACATATTCGGTTCAAAGTTAGCACGTGGTTTAGCACGTGGGTTAAGATATGAAAACAATGCAAACTGGCATTTAATTTAAATAAATTGGATGCCTAAATAATTTTTGATGAATTAACTATATTTTGTCTAAATTAATAGGCTGTCTTTACCAACATTTCCGCACCATTATACGCGCTTTGTCATGTTCATTAGATGCACAATGGTTTTTAGTCATGCAACTCTATTGCAAATAAAAAAAATTAAATAGTGATGTATAATTTATTTTCTACTTTTTCGTGCATTATTGCATAAAAAATTGTTACTAAAACGTTTTTTTGATGAATTTTTTTTCAGTTTTTAGTCAGGAGAGTTAGCTAATTCAAGAGAAATTAAGTCTCTGAAAGCAGCCTCCTCTTAGTTACCTCCCCTAAGTTTAAAATCGTTTCAAACTAAATTATCTGCCCGACTATTAAGTCGTCACTAAACCTGGCTCTATGATTGTAAACATTTAGCGTGAACCAAAGCTCACCAGACCATGTAGGGGTGGGGTGGTAGGGAGCGCGCTTACAGCTTGTTTTCTAGCGTCTCCGAGAAGAGAATATTATATATATATATATATATATATATATATATATATATTATTTAACGGGGAAGAATCACTCAAACTAAAGGAGAGAAACAAAACAGATAAAACTTTTAGACAGACACAAGTCACATTTTTACAGTGGTAATAATGGTATTACTGTTATAATACCGCATATAACTCCTCATGATTTTTAATGTCTCCTAGTCTCACAATACGTGATTTCATACAAGAACAATCAATTATATCACCGTATTCAAGTGGGGTTTAGACAAGGAAAAAAAGTGGGGGGGGGGGGTTAGCTCTTACCAAATAACGCAGTCATGAAAGCCTCGAATCCAATAGCCATGGCCTTGTCACGAGAATCAACGCTCCTGGATTAAAATACATTTTTAAAATCAGCTGGAAACTGTTAGTTCTTGCAAACTTTAATTTGATTTTTAAAAGAAAATTTCATAAAAACGTGTTAATAACAAGCTTTTATGTACTAATGCACTAAAAAGTAGAAAATAAATTATACACTACTATTTAAATTACTAGAATCTATAAAGAAAAGCGTGGGTCTTTTTTAAAATATTAGTAAAGGTATGCAATAGATACTAAAGTGGCCCCCGCTATTTTTATAGTAATTTAAATAGTAGTGTATAATTTATTTTCTACTTTTTAGTGCATTAGTAGCCTACATAAAAGCTTGTAATTAAAACGTTTTTTATGAAATTTTTTTTAATACTTTACATGTTTTTATTTACAATGGAGTTTCATGACTAAAAACAATTGCGCGCCTATGAACATCTTCATAAACCGAAGCAACAAGCCATAAACGAAGGTCCTACTGTTAAAATTACCACTCACCTTATGACGATAAGAAGTTTTGGCACAATCGATAATGTCGAAACAAGTGACCTTAACGTGAAGAAAAAGGCGTAGGCGTAAATGTGGTCGCAGCCGTAGTCGCAGGAGCCGCTGGTCGCCTGACCACCTGGAATACAGGTGCAGTTCTGATACACCTGTAGAATACAAGACAATATTTATTGTTTTGTTGCATCTTACAATAATGTACATATTTAGCTTTTGATGATTGTCTATAACTGCGCTTTCCGATTCGTGTATCTAAGAGTCGTCGAAATGAACTCAGTTAGCTGCTACTTGAGATAGTTACCCTTGAAGTTAGAAGCATTGGAGGGATGTGTCCTTGACGAGTTCAGCCATTTGAGTAAGGCGTCCTTACTCAAACGGCTGAGCTCTCTAAAGACCTTTAGATTGAGCTGGCTATTCAGTAAGGAGCCTTAGAAACCTTGCGCTTTTAGTGTTTGCACTCTGTTGAGTTCTTTAAGGTACGCCCTTCAGAGGCGTAGCGACCCTTCCCGGCGCCCGGGGACAAACTTTCGATTTTCACCCCCCCACCCTTGAACTTTTCATTTGCACCCTCCACCCGCCTCAAACTTTCGATTTGCATCCCCCCATCGATCTTTTCATTTGCACCCCACCCCCTCAAACTTTCAATTTGGCGCCCCCCTGGGGTCGGCGCCCGGGGACATATGGTGTCCCCCCGCCCCCCCCCCCCCCCTCGCTACGCCTCTGACGCCCTTTGAACCTGACTGACATAATGTCAGGTACATTCCGCATTGGTCCATTGCGTTTCAGGTACAGTTAAGAGCTTGGAATTACTTACGTTCTTGAAATTGTAATAAATGCATAAATAGTATTGTGCCTTACAGCTTTCAAGTAATAAACGACATTCCTCACCCCGCTGATGCTGTTTAAGCAGCCGGCTGTACATGGTGAGTAGTAGGTCTTGCCGTCTTGACCACAGATGGCGAAGTAGCTGTTGTCAGCACACTGGCACCCTGTGTTGCACGTCGTGTTGGTGCTGATTATGTATTGAGTAATGTGGAAAGTAAATATGGGAAAGTGAAATTTATAAAACAATGTTATGCTAAATCTGTGTTTGTCAAAATATTTTGTAATTTGTTGTAGCTGTATAAATCTTGAGGTCTATTGCAAAGTGTCTATACGGTCAATGATATCTTACCCAGGCAAAACTGTAAGCAATTCTTACAGATCGGAATTAATGGAAAGAGGAGACATTATCCTTCACAGTTGTGGATCGTTTAAAAAATTAGACAGCTAAATTACTTGACCAATTATAGATCTACGAGCCGACCCGCGGCGTACCATACGCGCTATCGAGTGACGGGTGAAGACTTTCTGAAAGACACAGTTGTCCACATGGGGTGGGTAGGTACGCACTGTTGCGCATGCCTGGAGAGCGAGGGAGCAGTGTTTCTTCCAGACATTTTTCTCCAGGGGGGGGGTCGCTTGAAATTTTCGGGGGGAGGGGGGCGGTAGACTTTTTTCAGTGGGGCGGACACTGTTAAATGTATATATTTTCTATATAAATTCCATTTCGTTCGTGGGGGGGGGGGGGGGAGTTGGACATTTTCGGGGGGAGGGGGGCCCGAAGAGATGCCTGGAAGAAACTCTGCGAGGGAGGAGGCGGGAGGAGGGTTATAGAGTCGGCGTGAGTGCGTGGTGTCCCGCATGGTTGCGCGAGGTGGAGAATTATATTATATTACGAGCTGACCCACGGCGTATCATACGCCGCTATTTAGTTGTTTTATTTTCTACTTTTCAGTACTTCAGAGTTAGAGAATTCGACTATAGCCTCCCTTCCAAATTCCACCCCTCCCCTCGCCACTGTGAAAGCAGCCGTCCTTAGCTCACCAGAATGGTGGGGGTGGTAGCTATATGCCTAGAGAGCGGGGGAGTAACGGTGTATGTTTACGTGGTGTCTCGCATGATCCCCATGAAGAGAATTAAATATATTGATAGATAGAAGATAGACGTCAAACTAGCCTGTTGAATTACCTAATTCAGTTGTAGACAATTTGTTTCTAAAAACTAGACTGTTGAATTACCTTTTCATTTTTAGGATCCTAGTGTCTAAAATCTAAACTGTGGAATACCAATCAGTTGTTGGCATTTGTATCTAAAAACTAGACTGTTCAATTACCTTGGTCAGTTATGGACACAATCTCAATACTAGACTGTTCAAATAGCCTTGCCAGTTGTGGACCATTTAAAAAAAAACAAAACAATAAACTATACAGTTGCATTACCTCGGCCAGTTATGAATCTCCGGTTGTGGACATTGAAAGAAAAATGCCATGACGCACGCCAACAAGGACATGGAGTTGACAATGATTGAAAACTTGAGGGCCCTTATGGTCGTCATTTTGATACGCTTGCTAAGGTACCCTCCCATAAATGTTCCACAAGTCGACGCAAACAAGGCTTTGACAGCTAGAACATTTTCAAAGTAAAGTATTTTTCCATTAGTTTTCAAATTACTAGACGAATATATAAAATGTTATTCAGGTTTTGATTTTTATTTTGATTATAAAATGATTTGAATGTTTATGTCAGAGAACTACACTGATTGATTTTTACAGCCCCACGGAGTGGTTTAGCGGTAGAGCGCTGGACTGCTAACCAGTAAGTCTCGAGTTCGAATCCGGGTTCAAGTCAGTAGACCGTCCCTGAGTCCACCCAAATTTGATGGGTACCTAACTCACGTTGGGGAAAGTAAAGACGGCTGGGCATAGTGCTGACCACGCTATCTCTTCATATGCCGAGGTCACAGAAACAAGTGAACTCTATTTCACTAGACCTATAGACCATCAGGTTTGAAAAGGGAACTTTTACTTTTACATAAAACTTTTGTCAATAACCCAAACAAACATCACCCATCAACTTGAAACTTATTTCTTAAGAAAATTCAGATCCAAAACATAATGCCGATACATCTAAGCTCTTTCTTACGTTTCAGGCCTACCTAAACACTCAAGAACAAATAGGCAAGAAACAAATATTTGTAACAAAGCTAATTCCATTAAATGAGGAATAATGATCATTGCAAGGTTTGTTTTTCACAAAAATGTGACTTAATTACTTTTAGCACTAGGCTCTTCATTTGTTAGGGACAGGTCATATTACTATAGTTTAAAACAACATTTTGGCAAGTTTTGAGACCAGTATTTGTAGAAACATCACGATACGATTGCCTACCCATGACGTAATTAGCCTTGTATGTGGGTAGATTAAACATTGCTTCAAGATATTTGGGTGTGTAGGAGTTACCACCGCTGACGGCAAACAATATGCAGCAAATTGAGATCACCATGGAGATATAAACGGGATTCGTCAAAAGTCGAACCATCGCCTCCAAAAAATCTGACGAAAAATATATCAATTAAATTTTTTTTTTCAGAATTGATAAAATGAATATTCTTTTCAGTAAAGTGTTCTTTTTTTAAAACTAGAAATTCATGTATTTAATTAGAAATAAAATATTATTACATTTTAATGGTATTATATTATTTTTATGTTATACAATTATAAGATGGTGACTTTTGTAACATATTTTAATAATATACGTATTACATAAAACAATCAAGAAAATAAATCAATAATTAAAAGACATTTCTAATGGACCTTTAATGTAAGCAAGGATGTAGTTGATGCGGAGTTTAACTTTCCGGCTGTCGTCGTCAGTGTGGTTGTCAATTCCGTATGTGGGGGGTTCTATCTTTGCATGGTCATCGGTTCTGTTAATGGACAAACAGAACACGTAATCCATATGTGGTGACTAATTGTGACTCGTGACAACATTTGTTTATTAAAAAAATTGATACAAACTAACTATCTGACAAAACATATCAGATAATTATATAAGACATTATTTCAGTCAATATATATTACTTCTTTGGTAGTATATATCAAGAAAAACAGCACAGACAAATATAATGTCCCACACAAAATAAATTATTTAACACAAAATATATTATCCCACACAAAATAAATTATTTAACACAAAATATATTATCCCACACAAAATAAATTATTTCACACAAAACACAATGTCCCACGCAAAATAAATTATTTCACACAAAATATAATGTCTCACACAAAATAAATTATTTAACACAAAATATATTATCCCACACAAAATAAATTATTTCACACAAAACACAATGTCCCAAGCAAAATAAATTAATTCACACAAAATATAATGTCCCACACAAAATAAATTATTTCACACAAAAAAAATGTACCACACAAAATAAATTATTTCTCACAAAATGTAATGTCTCACACAAAATAAATTATTTCACACAAAACATAATGTCCCACGCAACATAAATTATTTAACACAAAATATAATGTCACACACAAAATAAATCATTTCACACAAAATAAAACATCTTAACACAATAGAATATATGAGACAAAATATTTGTGGAGAGAACTCTCAGACAAGAAATCCCAAACAATTTTAGCATACTCTTTGATTTTTCAACAAAAGTCTACGAAAAATAAGTTCAATGTTTACTTCTCAAGCTTCTGGCTTATCTGTTGGCCAGAATCCTTTTGTGGAAGTTTCCTCGGGAAGCAGAAGAGTGGAACCGAAACAGTCAGGGCCAGACAACCAAACACTACATAACCCAGCCACCAGGCACCGATCCAGTTGGGATGTGATGTGGTCAGCTTGGTATCTGGGGAGTTCATATTCAGACATTATACAATTAAAACAGCATTCTTTTTTTTCCTTCTAATTTTAACGAAAATACGACCAAATCACATTTCCTAAATCTGAATATAACATTATTGTAATACTGTATTTTGGAGAATATTATGATTAATGTGAACTTTGATAGTGAGTGGGGGAACTAGAAAAAAAGTGCCACCCCGCAAAAAAAAAATGTGGGCCCCCCTATATATATATATATATATAAATATATATATATAAATATATATATATATATATATATATATATATATATATATATATATATATATATATATATATATATATATATATATATATATATATATATATATAGCCCATATAAACACAAAATGCGAACGTAGGATACTCATTACTTGATGATCGACTTTAAACAGAATTTTTTTTATTAAAACAAATTACAACATGTCCTATGTGTGAGTGATTTTGTCTGTTTTGAAAATCTGTTTAATTTTACTTTTAGCTTTGCTAAAAGACTACCCCGTCTAAAGTCGGTCAAAAGAATATAAAGCATGAACATTTTGTATAAGTAATGGTGTCTCGTGTTGTTTATTTTATGGTTATTTTTTGTATTTTTATTATTAATTTTAAATACATTTCGTTTTTTACAATGTCATTCATTAGTAAGAAATTTAAAAAAAATAATAAGAGAATTAATTGCTTTTTATATTGTTTAGTACAAATATATTAGAAAAAAGAACTTATGAGCACCCATATTTGACTTTTTTAAAAAGGGAAATAAGTCATGGAAGTGGTTTGAACGTTATCATATCTTTCACACTACAACTCATGTGTATATAAATATATATATATATATATATATATATATATATATATATATATATATATATATATATATATATATATATATATATATATATATATATATATATATATATGTTTAGTTTGGTATTATGAAATATGAGCGACAACGTGGCCTAGCGGTAGAGCGCCTAGACAGCTAACCCGGAAGTCTCAGTGGGTTCAGTAAAAGTTCCCTGAGTCCACCCAGCCCATATGGTTACACAACCCAAATTTGGGAAAGAAATGGATGCTGGGCATAATGCTGTCCACACTATCCTTTCATATGCCGAGGTCACAGAAACCGGTGAACTCTAGTTCACTTGCCCCATGAACCATCAAGTTTGAAATCCGAATTTTTTTTAAATTATGAAATATGAGATAATATAAATACATGCACCTTGATATAACCGTTATGTTTGATACATTTAATACTTACGGTGGAACATCAAGTTCCACGGGATACACGATACTTTAACTAGCAATATAATATAAGTAATATAATATAAGAAACATTCAAGTGTAAATAACAACAACCATTGGTCCTACCTTCTAACGTGACGTACATCCTTGTAAAAACGCCCCCTAGCAGAAATGCCAGCGCCGGTCCAAATATCCCCAAACTAATAATAATACCTAGGGTTTAAAAATTATAATTTTATAACAAAAATCTTATAAATTATGAAATAGTTTTGTGATTGATATGCCTACATGTGTATGTATATTTAAAGGGTATTTACAAGTTACCTATGAAAATCCCAGTGTTAGTTTTCTTCGTGTTGTTATCAATATACGTCACTGTGAAGGCTGTTCTCGGGGCTTTCCCGAAGCCCTGTATCATCATACCCAGGAAGATGATGACGAGAGAGATAATGGCTGTGTTCTCTGAGGTCATGTGACTTTCCTTGTCCTCTGCTGACCCACATTTGTTGAAGGTCTGGTTCTGACCATCACACATGGCACCGTAGAGAGTTCTGGAAGAGGTCACGTTGGTCTGTAGCTGACCAGTGTCCGTGCGCGCGCCAAAGATGAAGTGAGGCAGGGAGCAGGCCAGGCCTGATACACCAAATGTGATCGTCGCTACACCTGGACATAGCATGATTAAAATTATTTTTTGTTTCAGTTGTAATACTTTAAAAACTTTAGTTTTATGAACATTTTAAGTTAAATTAAAAAGTCAGACAGAAAAAAATAGAATTTAACTTAATTTAAAATGCCCGTTAATGAAACTGACCTAGTGACCTCGGGAGGTGTAGTTTTGGAGCCGAGTAGCTAACGAACAGCACACAGATGAGAAACCCCACATCATTGGCTGCCAGGATCAAACCTGTCTGTTTGGAGTTCAGGCCAAATTGTCTCTCTAGCGTCGTCACCTATGCGGAGTCGGAAAAAAGTTGAGCTCATTAGTTATTTTATACATTTATTTTACATTATTTTCTTTTTTTTGTACAGCAAAATATAAGAATGAAATGTTGAAATAAAGTAGAATTTCGTAAAGAAAACATAATTGAAAACATTATTTTCCTTCAAAACGTGGTAGCGAGCATCTAATTTTTAATCAAGTTCTTTTTTAAATGTCTCATAGGGAATTAAAACAAAACATATCAACATATTGCATAGTCATTCAGTTCATACTTTGTGATTAGAATACAAGCATTTGGGTAATACACACACATACACAGACACACAAACACACACACATTAATATATATATAGGCACTATATTTATATATATATATATATATATATATATATATATATATATATATATATATATATATATATATATATATATGCATATATATACATATATATATATATATATATATATATATATATATATATATATATATATATATATATATATATATATATATATATATTTATTTATTTATTTATTTATTTATTTATATAAGCACCTAACATATTTCAGTCATACAGATCCTTTTATCGTGACAGTTTCTAATGTATATGGATTAATGAAAGTTAATGGGGGGAATTGGGGATTGCTGGAGCGTTTGATAGCCGACAGGTGAGGATTTTGCATAATCCGTTAGATATTTGGCTTACATGTATCCGATAACCAGATGTGGGGCATATATGAGTACATTAGCAGCCCAATAGCTAATTTACATAATAAAACATTTCCCAAAACTACCACCCCCCTAAAATATATAATATTTCTAACCATATACTTATAGGAAAAATACAATTATATGCTAACATGGGATACGTAACAAAATCGACTCTTAATTTAACATGCAACACACAAGAAACTCCAACTAACTATAAAAAAAAAAAAAAAAAAACATTTTTGGTTAACACGAAACAAGGAAAAAAAGAAAATTTGAGAAAATGTCATTTTTACCACCTAAATGTTGACGGAAGAAAACCCACTTGTTTTCTACCGTAAAAAAAGTCACCTGAAAGCTGACGTAGAAAAAAAACCCACCTGGGAGTTGATGTATGAGGTCAAGGTCGAGGTCAGCAGTGCGGCTAAGCTGTATATCAGGGTGAAGCTCCAGATGTTGGCACACGGCTGTAAGATGTCCGGCTTGAATGTCCACACCCCACACCTCGTGTCCACGGCTAGCTCTGTGTCTTCTCCACCCTGGTCTTTACCTTCTCCACCCTGACCTTCGTCTTGTCTGTCCTGGTCATTGTCTTGGCCTGTCTGGCGTTTGTCTTGGCCTGTCTTGTGTTTATCTTCGCCTGTCTGGCGTATATCGTATGCTGGTTTGTAACCCTGGTACCCTGTTCTGGAAATAATCGTGTACCTTCCAGCCATTCTTTTCCTTGTTCTGAAATAGTTAATGTACAATCGACTGTTAAAAATCGAACGTTAAAACAGGCTCCCAACACTTGATTAAAGTTTTCGATGCGCATTTTTTTACATCAATGTCTGATGATTATTCTCAGCTTGATGGAAATTCACGCGGTAAAATAATTTAAATAGAATAATTTTAAAAAATAATCAAAGCACTAATAGGTCTAGTACGGCACTTTTACTGGATGCCCATCAAGATTTTTACCGGTTGTACTCTACGCAAGTCCACCCCTGATTTCAATGTTAAACAGTAGTAGTGCGCGTTTACAGGCAGAGAACTAGAGGTGCGTAAATCTCCGTTAATTTGTCGAATTAGAGGCCCATAACTCTTCGTTTAAATCAGGGGTCTCCAAACTACGACCCGCGGGCCGGATGCGGCCCGCGAGGTCCTCTCATCCGGCCCGCGGATATCCTTTTGACCACGGAAAAAACGTTAGTTGGTGTTGGCTGAGGAACTTTGCCCAAAAAAAATCAAAGACATGTCTGGAAGAAACTGGCCCCCGAACTGAAATTTGATAGTTAATGCGGCCCTCCGACTGAAAAGTTTGGAGACCCCTGGTTTAAATAGTCGAGTTTCATTGCCCATATCTCTGCAATCAAAGCCGATTAGGGGCCGATAGCACTCCTTTAAATAGCTAACCGGAAGAGATCATAACTGTTTTTAAAGTAGTCGAATAGAATACCATTACGCTCTTTTCAATGGCCGAACGGTGAAAATGAAATTCTTTTATTTAGTCAAACAAGGGAATTTGGGAATTTGAATTTTTTATAACAAAGTTTTTTACTAGATTTTTAAAATCCCGCCTTAAAAAAAACGGATCAATTCTGAGAACTTTAGTGCCATATTGCAAAACTTAACTCTAAACATCCGTAGCTGAGAAGTCTACGACGAGATTTGGAAAAGAAAAACAGCAATTTTAAAAACTTTACTCTTTAAAAGAAAAATCAAATTTTATCCTTCCGACGATGTCGTTAAGATCCTTTTTTAAACATATATTTGTTTTTATAAAACAAATTAAATAAAAAACAACAACTGATTCTTTAAATATATCTTTTCTTTAAACTAAAATTTCATGAGCTTAATAAAAAGTAACTTACGTTTATAATTCTCAAACTGGAAACGTTCGATTCGAAAACAACCTGGAAAATATACGTAATTATTAAAGAGCCCTGATACTGTCCAGAAAAAATATATTATCATGTGAGCTGGGCTAAGGTTGATATAATTATATGTGTCTACCACTGTCGACTACAAATACCTAATCATGCTACTGATGCATTTGGCGAGCTACACTTGAATGTTCTACAGACGGGAAAATTATTGTATCGTTGTCGGGATATCAAGTGCAAGTCAATGCAAGCAACTCATGCATGAATGAAAAACCTGACACTTCTGAAGTTAAGGGTGCCTAGGTTCTATATCGATAAATTAACGGAAATAATTAGCTTTCGTATGTGTCAGATGATGAACAGATAAACGCTGACATTTGAATGTCCTGCTCATAAATTGTGGGTGAATAGGATGCTGTAAATAGTACTTCCTATCAGTGGCGTAACGAGGTCGGGTGTTACCCGGTGCGGCACTTAATGGTGTCACCCCCCCCTTAGAGGCGTAGCGACCCTTCCCGGCGTCCGGGAGCGAACTTTCAATTTTCGATTTGCACCCCCCTCAAACTTTCGATTTGCACCCTCCCTCCACCTTTGTCGGGATTTGTCAAATTTGCTCTTCAAGACTATTTAACACTCGAACTAATCACTTAATTAAGTGGAATTATCGTTTTTCTCTATATATTTTGCTTTTTTTCGCCTTGGTGTCATCCCCCTAAATAGTGGCACCTGGTGCGGTCCGCGTCCGTCCCCCCCCCCCCCACCTTCCCCTAGCTACGCCACTGCTTCCTATCGTGATGTCATTTAGATATTGCATGTTTTTATATGATGCATGACATAATAATATGTACTTGTATTAGGACAGAGAAAAAAGTATTAGAAAACCAGGCAACGAAGTACCCGATATTATTCACAACAATCGCTATTTGTGTTCATCATGAGAGTTGTTAATATCGTTTTCAATAAAAATACAGCTCTGAAGAGCGGCACGGTAAACGTTTTATAAAACCTACACTATTTTCAGTATTGTACTGCGATTAAAGATAGACGATATAAGCATTCATGATCGAGTTCGTACTTTTTATGCTGCCACGCCGACATTTCAAACAAGCCCTCAATTAAAGAATTTAATACAGCCAATCAAAATTCCGTTCGAAAATTCTAAATATATGTATGCCTATAAATAGAATCTAAATATAGATCACCATAGACCTAAATAAGCATGTTGTTTATTTCATCTTCTTTTTACCAGTAAGCTATTCTCGGCTAAAGAATACATATTCATACAGTTAAATTGTACGCGGACCTTAGACCACATGTAACTTGATCATAATGGCTTTGACCGTAGGTGGTTTGTCCACAGCGGGGCTTTGACCGTAGGTGGTTTGTCTACACAGAGTAAAGATGAACACAACAAATGATAAAAAGTTTTGCCGATACGGCATATCAATTTTGCGCCCCCCCCCCCCCCCCGCTATTTCTATATAAAGTTATACTATTTAAACTGTTAAATTTATTTTTCTACCCCTTTTTGGCGCCCCCATAGGGTCGGCGCCCGGGGCGGCCGCCCCACCCGCCATGCCACTGATTCCGAGAACTATTGTTAGCCTTTGAGATAAACAGATGTACTGACATATTTTCGCACTTGTACATTTGTTATTTAGTGAACAATACAGGTATTACTTCTTCGACTTTATTGTAGGCATGCTTTTTATCATTTATTCGTGCTTTTTATTTTCTTGTAGGGCTATAATTTACTTTTTTTTTTTAGAAAAAGGTAATATCAATGAATGTTTTTTATCACTTAATTTTTTTAGAAAAAGTAATTTTTTTCTGAATGCTTTTTTTTATCATTTATATTTGCTTTTATATTCATGAAGATCTATAATTTACTTTCTTAGAACTGATTAATTTCTAGGAATTGAAACTTAAAGAAAAGTTTTCATATAAAATAGTTATAATTGCATCATTAATTTGAATTAAATAAAAGTTTATTATTGTTTCGATTATAAAACTTTAAAAATGTGGACTAACCAGTTAGTAACCACGTATGATCAAACCCCCTATGGTCAAAGCCCTGGTGTGGTCAAACCCCCTATGGTCGAACCAACAGATCAAACCCCCTATGGTCGAACCAACAGGTCGAACCCCCTATGGTCGAACCAACAGGTCAAACCCCCTATGGTCGAACCAACAGGTCGAACCCCCTATGGTCGAACCAACAGGTCAAACCACTAATGGTCGAACCAACAGGTCAAACCCCCTATGGTCGAACCAACAGGTCAAACCCCCTATGGTCGAACCAACAGATGAAACCCCCTATGGTCGAACCAACAGGTCAAACCACTAATGGTCGAACCAACAGGTCAAACACCCTATGGTCGAACCAACAAGTCAAACTTTCTATGGTCGAACCAACAGGTCAAACTTTCTATGGTCGAAACAACAGGTCAAATCACTAATGGTCGAACCAACAGGTCAAACCCCCTATGTTCGAACCAACAGGTCAAACTTTCTATGGTCGAACCAACAGGTCAAACCCCTATGGTCGAACAACCTATGATCAAAACCCCCAATGGTCGAACAACCTATGTTCAAAACCCCCTATGGTCGAACAACCTATGATCCAAACCCCCTATGGTCGAACAACCTATGATCCAAACCCCGTATGGTCGAACAACCTATGATCCAAACCCCCTATGGTCGAACAACCTATGTTCAAAACCCCCTATGGTCCAACAACCTATGTTCAAAACCCCACTGTGGTCAAATCACCCGCGCTCAAAGCCCCTAGGACCAATACTAATTGCAAACTTCTGACATCCAACACACCAGACAGTCGCATGCAAGCCGTCTCTGACAGCTTAAGCTCCATCATTTTGGAGAGTGCATCACAAAATAGGTCAATGATAGATCTGTCATGATATTAGCTTCACAAAAAAAAATTATTGTTCGAAAACATTTTTAAAAAAACATGTAGCCTACATTGATTAGACTAGACCAGCGGTTCCCAACCTGTTTTATAAGTATTTTGCATGATACAAATGTGAGTATTATTTATAGTGGGACCGATGACTTAGATTCTGGTTAATTTAGAACCCTTGCTACTTGTATCTAGTAGACCAAATAATATACTACCCTAAAATGTTCTCGTTTCGTAAAAATAACCACCATTTTTATTTTAGCTAAAAGATAACACAGATGACATCCACTGATCGTAAGTCAAATTGGAATCGGTTTACATGACTCATAATCGATATGAAATGTATTAGAAGCTTTATCTACATCTTTTATGTGTCTGTGATGCATATGTAGGCCTATATCATTATAAAACATTATGTTTAATGTTTCTGAAAACAGATCGACTAATCGGAAACTAAACTGTTACTCATGCGGTTATTATTTTTTACATTAAAATCAACTTAAGTTTATTATGTAATTTTAATTTTACATTTAATTTTCATGATATTTTTATCACAAATTTACTTTTATTTTATGATTTGAAATACCACTTTCCTATTTAAAGTTTTCTATATTTTATTTTACTTTTAATTATTATGGTTGTATTGCTACTTGTGTTGAAGTTTGTTTGAAGTTAAATTTAATTGAGATGATATTAAATTTTGAGAATTAACCCTCGACTTTAGCTTAATTTTCAGATAAAAGGTAATGTAGAAGCTATTTATAAAATGAACAAGGTTTAATGTAATGATAACCTCCAAGTTATGTATTCCAAATATATATTTTTACTTCTTCATAATTAACCTTCACTGTAGATCATTGGTGCTACAAGATATGAAAGAAAAAGTTGATGCTTTAGGAGCCATATATAAATAAATAAATAAATATATATA